TTAAGGACATTTATTATTTATTATAATATATTATTATTAAGGACATTTTTGTTCATGTTTGTGTGATAAAAAAAATAATAGTACTATGTTGGGACAACACTTGATGTCCTGAAGCAAGATGAGCTGGGAACCACTGTGCTAGATAGTTTTCCGTCATAACACAAAATTGACTGGATTGATAAAAAAAAAAATAAAATAAAATAAATATTGCAAATATGGTATAAAACAACCACAGAATTGAATCATGGCACACTGAATGTTGGAAACCTAAGTGGCAGTATAGTACTGTGAACATCCCTCTACTACATTTAATGTGCAAAAATATAAAATATTGAGATGCTACAGCAAAATGCTGCTAAATCTAACATTTCCTGCTCCCACTCACTGTGAAGTCAGTTCACAATGCTGCTTTTAAGCTCATATATATGAGAGTGTCTCTTTTGTCTGAAAAACACCTGTAACGCACAGCCATAACCTCAGACGATCTCGTCAATAGCTTTATTGCTTTTATTAACGTAGTCACCCAGAGCGACTGATGAAGTCAATGTGGGCCCAGAGCAACCGGCTGCAAATGATTTATGCTTCAGACCAGAAGCTAATCACACATTCACCAGGTGTGGGATGTAATACGCTCTCCCGTCTCTCCAGATGGTATAGCATCCAAGAGCCCTTAAGGTTCCTCCGCATCCGATTCTGCCCACAACGGCGAGCGTGGAGCAGAGAGGTTACATACCAGGGCCGCACAGCTCGGCCCGTAATAGCGGGGGTAATTAGATCGAGCACGCCACAGACCGCATGCCGGCATATGGTACCTTTCAACCGTGAGCCCACAGCTAACAAAGGAAGGAGTATTTTACATGGTGCAATCTCTAATCTCATAAACAATACTAAAGACATGATGTAAGGCTCCAGGGTGCCATGAACGCCGAGGCATATTGCATTTAGATGGAGCCCGTGGGGCCAGAGCTGAAATATGGTGATTTGATTGCAAGCGTCTGTAAATAGGTTTTGCCAGTTCAGTCGGCCTACGCTGACAACACGATTTGCAGCACAGCTTGCTTTGATTCAGTAGGAAATAAAACACACAAACTCACTGCAGAGCCGCGCGTTCTGAAGCGAGATGTTTTGAATTTCACCAAAGGCTTCGGTCCCTGAGATCAGAGACTTGATATACATTCAAGCGTTGTCTTATTCGACCGTAAGTGTCCTGCAAAGTGGAATTCACATGATATTCCGCCATGATTCCAGTTCCAAGGGAACGTAGGCCTACATGTTACATTCAAAGGTCATTAAAGTGCGCAAGACGGGAATTTAAATTGTATTTATTTACAGAGGTATATTATGTCACACTTCACACTTCTCTAGTAAGTTTCGTCTATCTGTGAAGACGCTGCAGGCAGTGGTATAGCACAAATCCGTGAATGAATGTTCCGAAGTGAAGTCAACTTTCGGATTTCCCATGCTCAGGGAGTATAGGGAGCAAAGAATACTGTGTAGGGACCCTGTCAATCAGAACACAGTTCAGGCATGGAGCTCTCTTCTAATGAGCTGGTTATCTGAATCAGGTGTGTTAAATAAGATAGACATGCAAAATATGCAGAACGGTGGTAGGCGAGGACTGGAATTGAGAACGACTGTCCTAGATCTTATAATTGTCACAACTTGCAACTTTCAAAATGGTTTTATAGAGTTGTATATACTAGAGCAACCGGCTGCAAATGATTTATGCTTCAGACCAGAAGCTAATCACACATTCACCAGGTGTGGGATGTAATACGCTCTCCCGTCTCTCCAGATGGTATAGCATCCAAGAGCCCTTAAGGTTCCTCCGCATCCGATTCTGCCCACAACGGCGAGCGTGGAGCAGAGAGGTTACATACCAGGGCCGCACAGCTCGGCCCGTAATAGCGGGGGTAATTAGATCGAGCACGCCACAGACCGCATGCCGGCATATGGTACCTTTCAACCGTGAGCCCACAGCTAACAAAGGAAGGAGTATTTTACATGGTGCAATCTCTAATCTCATAAACAATACTAAAGACATGATGTAAGGCTCCAGGGTGCCATGAACGCCGAGGCATATTGCATTTAGATGGAGCCCGTGGGGCCAGAGCTGAAATATGGTGATTTGATTGCAAGCGTCTGTAAATAGGTTTTGCCAGTTCAGTCGGCCTACGCTGACAACACGATTTGCAGCACAGCTTGCTTTGATTCAGTAGGAAATAAAACACACAAACTCACTGCAGAGCCGCGCGTTCTGAAGCGAGATGTTTTGAATTTCACCAAAGGCTTCGGTCCCTGAGATCAGAGACTTGATATAACTATCTGGGCAAGAGACAAATTCGCTCGGTTTCACTCGCCTTTCCAACTGGCAGGCTTCACAGAGTTACTTGACATTCCCGTTTGATGCAAGGAATGCAAGGAAAGATAGCCTGACCGGTCGCAACCTACAATCTTGAAGTTTACTCTAAAGATCCGTATCGGATTTAATCTCGCACACATGCCCGCCAGCCACTGCCAGATGGAAAGCTGGCACTCGCCACGGCGGATTTCACAAATGGATGCTGTGCAGCGAGGAGCACAACACTAAACAGATGTCAATTTCCAAATCAAAGCGTGAATTACATTATCGGCGCTTTTAGATTTCAGCAGACCTTTGTCTCGCAGCACAAAGTCAATTCGATTTACAACGGCAAACGGCAGACTTCCCACTCAAGATATCCAGAAGTGAGGAAAATAACTCAATAGCAGGTCAAATGAGCAAGTAACGAGAAATGGCCCTGGAACAGAGAAAGCCGGCTCTGCTAGGGAAGGTGATAAACATTTCCATTTCTCTTTGCTGCGCACACTCACGCAAGAATGGAGGTGCAAGGAAAGGTGAGAGAGAAAAGAGCACTGAAGTTTTTTTGCGCGAAAAAGGTGTTTAAACTTGACAGCGCCTTAAAGGAGAAACAAAACTGAGCTGTGATTTCGCCTTCGCTAGCCTGAGGCCGTTCACAGCAGCTCAGAGTCAGAGCTCTGTAGAGGCAAAAGACCTGCGGTGAGAACCATTTACACACTCTGGATGCATATTTTGTGTCTTTTCTTCCACTTCTATCATACACAACAACATTTATAATCGCCCTATGGGCAGATGTGCCTTTAGAAGCCATGGATGCCGTAGTTATTTTTATTTATCCTTATATAGGAGCACATACTGCACATTAGACAAGAGAAATTTCACAGCTTCTTAAAGGGACATTACAAAATATGTATAAATTATTGTTTATTAATGTTTTTTTTTAAAGTGATGCAAATGAGGCAAAAAAATGACCAGAGCCTGATTCTGTTATCATTTATTCACACTTAAGTCTTTGCAAACTTGTATGACTTTCTTGAAGGATGTTGGTGACCAAAATGTTTTAGTTCCCATTGACTTCTATTACATTTTTTCAGACCATACAACAGATGTCAATGAGAACAAAATTGTTATCAAGATTCTTCAAAACATATTCTTTTGATTTCCACAGAAGTAAGTCAGTCTGCCTGGAACAACATGAGGGTAAGAATGACAGATGATAGATTTTCATTCAACCACTCCAAAAAAAGCTAATGTGAAGGTTAGGTCAAGCTTTATGGTGTAATTTGGCTCTAAAAAAGTACATTCTTGTGTTTACTGGATTTGTCTACTTTAATGTGAAGTAGTTTGGGCCAAATTCGATTGCAAATTAAATGAGAGCATTTTCTAAAGCTCTCATAACACAGAAAATCATTGTTCTGGAGCAAAAGGAGCATGTGATTGGCTAAGTTTTTTGTTATGTTTCAATCATCGATCATGTCATCATTGAACATGCATAAGCGTTTCCATGTGCACTCCAGGCTGCGGATCCTGTGTTTCTACATGTGACAAGAGCGCCCCCACATGGATCTAAATGATATGCTTAATACTGTTTTTTCACCACAGATAAAGGATAAATTAATATCAGGCCATCTATGTAAAATATTAGTTCATGCAAATGTCTTCAGTGTCCTGTTGGTGCATTTTGTGACTTGGAGTTTTGTTTTGGCAACCTCAATCTGATCACAATGCCAGCCATATTTCCTCCTCAATTTGTGCTAAATAAAACTGAAGTGTGCCATTTTTATATATATTTTTAATGTATCTCAACTCAATATACAACTATAAGTAAGCTATAATCGAAATTGAGTAAACAAAGAGTTTCCAAAAAGATGTTTTAATACAAATGTTCAAAACATAAGATTGACATGTATACAAAACCAAGGTAACAAACAAAAATCATACGTCACGCTTCAACAAACGGTGAAATTGAGCCAAGAAAATACTCTTTGAAATGGTGGTCTAGAAAACAGACCAATAATATCACTGCTAAGTGCCCTGGACACACATTTTGTCACATACTCAAATACACACTTAACTAACACGCTATTTAGAAAATGCCTTCTACTATATCTACAGCAAGCTGCTTTGTGACCAGAATTACTCCAATCCTTCAGGACAGGCCTAAGAATGAAAGTCCAATTCACTTAAGACTTAAAAGACGCTTCCTGGAAAGTCGAACGTTGTTTTGAGTCAAATATAGATGGTGGTTTTGGCTGGCAACAGAATATGGAATCTATATTTTTATCTTTCAGTACATCTCGTTCTTTGTTTTGAAAAATGGTACCCCATGATTTGACCATTTATACCATATAAGTACAGTTTACGTAAAACTATATCAAATTAGAATTTCTTTCATTACCTTCATTCCAGATGTTTTCATAACTTGTGGTATGCCAAAATGGAGGAGAAAATTCATGTTCAGTGTTTTAAGTGGACTGACTTTAAACTGAAATGGTCCCAGCACTAGTCCAACAGCTGTAAGTCATCTATCATTATACTGCTTTGCATGTGCATAAGCAGATTTCTGTAACATGAGGCTTAAACTTTACATGGGACAAAAACTCATTCAAAAACATTTCTATTTGTCTGTTTGTGTTGTCACAGTGCCTGTGTGCTGGAGCTGATGATGTCCATGAAGGTGGCCTCTATGTGATAGCACAGCTGTACATCAGGATCGGCTCCCCCCAGGTCCTCTGCAGACCTCTTGCGTAGAGAGCATTTGGATTCTGATAGCGGTATTTCCTGTGGCTTCTGTCTCAGATACTGGAGCCCTAAACACAAGATCACAATGGATTAGATCTAAATCTAGGGCTACATGATTTGGCCACACCATATTGTGATCATATCTTGATAAATACTGAGAAATTAACTGTGAAAAGATAACGTCATATTACTGATGCTTAGATAAAAGGTAAAGGAACAAAGAAGGCACTTTGAAACAGAAGCTCACATGTTCAACAGACTGTGCAAAAACTCTAAACTTGCAAAGAATGCCATTTTTGTCTGCCAAAGTCTGCAGAAACGGTTAGTCTTTAAGGGTCATCAGACTTGAATGTCAATCTCAAATCACTTTTAATTGACCCAAAAGTGAAGTGAGTGAAAACGAACCTAGTTATCTGGTGTACCTGAATTTGCAAATGGATATTCATTTACTTCAACTGTGATGGGGTCACAGGTCACTTGTCACTAACACACATTTTTTGGAAGTCTATCAAGTTAAATCTGATGGTAATATAATAATGGAATGTTATAGGTTTAGTTTTAATATAATTAATATTTAAATGCAATATTACTATAATAAATATTAATATTATATTTTGAATTAAACATCAATATAATAAGAAAACTAAAGGAAGGCCTTTGAGCTTTAATATGCAGTTGACAATAATGTATAGATTATTTATTTCAAATGTCAAAATCTTTTTTGAGCCACAATATCACATTATTAGATTTGTATAATAACTAGGAGTAGTCAGAAATGTTCAAACTATGCTAATGTGAATCATGGCTTTTTGCGGTTGTTTAATAATCACACAAGACCATATTGCAATAACTGTGCAGCCATATGCAAATATAAAACTATTAAAAACTTGAGTATTTCAATGACAAAAAAAAAACTAAAAAACTAAACACTTTACAATAAGGTGTCATTCGTTAAAATTAGTTAATGCATTAATTAAGATAAGTTTTTACGTTAAGATACGAACAATGAACACTACATTCATTACACTCTTTATTAATCTTTGTTAATGTTAGTTAATAAAAACAGTCGTTCATTGTTTGTTCATGTTAGTTAGCATTAACTAATGTGCATTAGTACACAGTGCATTAAATAATGCATTGATAAATGCTGAAATTAACATTAACTCAAGATTAATATATGCTGTAGAAGTATTGTTCATGGTTTAGATCCTACCTGTCCGATCGCTACCACCTTGTTCATTTAAATGGGGAGTCATCATTCTTAGTTCATGTTAACTAATGAACCTTATTGTAAAGTGTTACCGACTTTTTAAACAACCTATGGGAAAAATAAATAGAAAAAATACTTCAAGAACCAAGGCACCTGAAAAAGTCGGCATGCACTTTTTCACTCTATTAAATCTGACTTTGAACTGAGTAAAATCATTTTAAATCTTGCCCTGCCCCTGCCCCATACAATAGCCATTGATCAATACAAATTAAAAACAGTTCAGTCAAATAAGACAAGAATACACTCACTGGCAATGAGAGGGTCAATATCTCTGGCCTTGGTGGTGACATCAGCAGCAGACACCTGACCCACCTGAACCAGCAGGGACATGACATCATCAAAGAGTGGGGGGAAAGCCTTGCAGAATGAAACCAGGCATGGCAGCGTCGGCATGAAAAATGCAAAGCGCTTGGCACGGGTCAGCACTGTGCAAGATACCAAAAATATTTACTTAAGTGAATATATTACAGAATCACATGCAATTTTTGGTTGTTTTGCGAACAGATGCGCTAGATAACATAAAACTAAACTGCAGGATTTAACAGTGCTCAAGACTTCTCTGGTACTCCATTCAATAAAACAATAAATGGATGGCTGATGCATCATTTATAAACACTGCAGCTGAAGGTTTGTCACAGGCAGTAATAAGTGGCCAGCAGAGGGCAGTGTGTACTAAGATAATGGGAAAAGTTTGCACAGGTTGGTTTTGCTACAAAAAAAGTCAAGGTAATGGTCTGATATCTCCAATTATCAATGTTATTTTTAGACATTCTTTAATAAAATGTCAGCCCTAATAAATGAATAAGAACAGAGACCAAGGTAAAGACAAAATGGAACACAGATAAAGAGATAAAGCAACAGATGAAAGAGTTATTTCTACCTGTGAGGAGGGTGCCCATCACACTAATGGCAAGACGTGCCACACTGAGGGATTTGGGCAGGGCGTACTGGGTGCACAGATGGGACAACAGCTGTATGGCGAAGATCTGTGCCAGACAAAACAAAACTGCCATTAGCATCAAGCCCAGAGGTCAACCCTAAGGGCTCACCATGTGCCTGTGATTCGAGTAGCAAAATACATACTCTTAATACTTCAATTTATAGCTATACAGCTCTAAATAAAGTTGTAGTACATACTATAAAGCTATAAAGAGTCTTGCATACTAAATATACTAAATTCTAGAAAGAGAAATTATATTCTGTGTATATTCATGGGATAACAAATTAAGGGATTCACACCTGAATTCAAATTAATTCTGGAACTTGGGAGTGGCAACTGATCTACTTAGTAGTCCTGGCTGAAAATATGGATGGACGAACTGATAGTTTCTTACCTGTTTCTCCAGCTGCGGCTGAGTGAGGAGTTCTGGGATAAAGTCTAGACAGATGTGCATGGAAGGAATTCCTGCCACCGTCAGAGGCAGCAAAGCCTGCGGATAACCCTGAATAAACATTTAAAGAACATTTAGAAAACCTTCAGAACTCAATTAGAGCTTTAGAACCCAATTAGAGATTTGTTTGATTTTGTTTTCCTTTATCTGAAACTGATTCACAAAAACCTAAAGGCTGTTTTATTCTTTAAAACGTACTTCATAGTTAATTTTAGTTTAAAACTGTTCAAGTCAAGATGAAAATGACCCGATTTTTTAATACATGTTCCTGCTAAATTTGCAAATGATTTACTGGTGCACATAAAAAAAATACAAAAATAAAAGCCATTATAGTGTCACAAAGTTTTACACTATTGTTCCAAAAGTTTGAGGTAGGAAAGATTTTAAACATTTTTTTATATAATTCTCTCATGCTCACCAATGCTGCATTTATCAAATGTACAATAAAAAACGTAGAGTGTGAAATATTACAAATTAAAAGTACTGTTTTCTATTTTTAATGTATTTCAAAATGTAATTCATTCCTATGATGTGAATTTTCAGCAGTCATTACTCCAGTCTTCAGTGTCACATGATCCTTTAGAAATCATTCTAAATATGCTGATTTGCTGCTCAAGAAACAGTGCTACTTAATATTTTTGTGGAAACTGTAATATAGGTTTTAAGGATTAAAAAAAAAAAATGTATTTCAGACCAAAATCTATTATATTGTTATAAATGTCTTTATTACCACTTTTGAATTAAATGAATCCTTGCTAATAAAAGCATTAATTTTATTAAAAAATATTACTGACTCTTTTGAACAGTACTGTAACTTGATTTGAACCCCTCCCTTCCAACCACCTGTCATACAGAGACCACTTGTCACTAATCAATCCCCAATGGATAAAATGACAATTTTCCCATTGAATATCCTGTTTCACTCTGAAATATATGACATAAAAATGTTAAATCCCTATAGAGGGAAAAAAAAACATTGCGTGTGTACTGTGTCTTATGATCATCATGCATGTATGTATAAAGTATGTATCATAATGGTGATGGCAGTACTGTAACAGAGAGACTTAATTACCTGAAAGTGTACTAGTTTGGCAATGTTGGGGTCTGCGATGAACATTTGGTGCAGTAGGCAGCAGATGAGACACTGCACTTCCCTCAGGTCACTGAGCAGCCCGCCCTCTGCCTCGCGCTCCCCCTGGGCCCCCCGCCCAGCCCCCGCGTCGCCCACCTGCTTCCGCATGGGAATACCTGGAGCAGACTGAACGCTCCTCAACAGGCTGTCTGCTCCTCCACCTCCTCCCAGCTGCAGCTCCTCCTGAGGGGACGGCAAACACACCTCCAGCAAGATCTGCACCGCTGCACTGTCCTGAAGGTGAACAAAAACAACACAAATATGCCAAATGCACAAACTGGTGATTCAGAGATCAGTATTAGAGATGTGTTTGTTTGCATGTGTCTACCTGAGCAGCCAGCAGAGCGTTCTTCAGCTCCTCTCTTGTGACCTCAGGGGTATCAGGTTGGCCACTCAGCCCAAGGTTTGATCGCTCAAATTCAGCCGTCTCTTTCAGGTGAGCGTTCAAGTAGGCCTTAGATGCCAACAGGTACCCATTCAGCATATGAAGAGTGATGTCCATTAGTGGAGGACACCTTCATGAGAACAAACACACCTTCCTTCAGTAAGACTAAGATTAGCATGAATTATAGAATTTCTTTATAGGGTATTTCTTATCAGGCATTTCTAAGCAGGTAATACCTGAAGACTCTGGAGTCGCAGCGCAGGACGATGAGAGGATCCACCATCAGATCATTCTGAGTGTATTTCTGCTGCCGCAGGAGCTTTACTGAAGGCTGCAGAGCGTTTACCGTCATCACCCACAGCCTGACAGAGGAAAGAGACTTAGAACGAGTGCTGAAGTGCAAGAATTCCTTCCATTTTTACAAAACACAGAGGAAGTCTCACTTGCGTGGCATGACTGTATTAAGTACCATCCAGAGTTTGCTAACAGTCTGTAGGATCCTGCGAGAGACGCCGTCCTCTAAGAGCAGCCCCATGCTGGCAGTCAAGGCCTCTGCGTATGGGATCAGATCTCCCGCAGAGAGCAGCGTCAGGTGCTCCAGGATACGCAGCAGCCTGGGCCCACCGGAGAGAACATTCTGGAAAGCTAAGAAAAAAAAATGTAAATGATTAATTAAAACACACACACACACACACACACACACAAATAATGACCACATTTAATTCAAAGACATATGTAAAATATTTAGAGGCTTTAGATGTCAATATATTTGTTTGTTTTATTTCCATATCATTAAATATAACATAAGCCTGTCACCATCTGTGAATACAAGAGTCCTGTGGAGAGACAGGCCTGTCAGAGCAGTGTTGTATGAATACAGAAACACCTTCAGGCTCATTACTCCGCAGGTGCAAAACTGAGTCATGCACATGAAAGGTCAGACTACAACAACAAACTATTCATATCATAGACTATAATAAACACTTGTGATCTCCTCCAGGGCCTTATGAGTCTCAATGTAGAGTTCAGTGGTCTGGTTTACTGTAGTGTGAAAACTGCTTGAGAAATACATTTTACAGCAGAGATGTGCTAATTGCTTTTGTAGAATCCACCTGAGTGACAACTTTTCTATTTTTACCTATTGTATAGACATATGCCTTTCCATTTCCTTATTTTGACCTTGTGTTAATATAACCAAAACTGACTTTTGACATATCCACTTTTCTTCACTTTTAATCCATATTAATATTCTTTACACTGTAAAAATGGATCCATCAAAATTATTTTTAAATTATGAGTCAAATTTCGAAAATGTAGTAAATGGGAGAAAATCTTTAATGCAATCTCGGTCACATGAGAAATGTGATTTCCACATTTTGCTCTTAAGTAAGTGGTTGATAGTGTGAGTTTCTTGTACCTTCTCGTAGCTGTGTCTGTGAGTATTTGCAGGATGAGGATGTCAGCAACATCTTCCTCAGTAAAGGCAGAGTACCAGTCACTTCTTCTTCACTGATCCAGTCCTCCACCATACACAGGTGAGGATAGTTTGTGGCCAGTAGACGCAGAAGAGCAGAATGTAAGCCTAAAAAATAAAATAAAATACAAATTAAAAGTACAAAGTACAAAAGTACAAAAGTACAAATTAGTTTATAAATAAAATAATAAATATTAAGTACAAAACTAAATGTAACTTTTTGATATATATATATTTTTTTTAAGTATTATAGCATTTTCACTGTTTGCATGTATATAGCCTGTAAACCAATGCACATAAAATGAATAAAAACATATTTTTAGAAAGATATCAAGTATCAGTGTCATGTAATGAGAAAAAGAATTGCATCTAGTAATGCAACTAAATATGGCTGTATTATCACATATTTTAAATCAACTCTGCTGAATATAAGTGCAATGGAGGTTAACGGGTGTCCTTTACCTCCCAGCTCCTGCTGCAGTCCTTGGGCCTGGCGAATGAGGTGTTTAATGGGAATCTGGTCCATGAGGGCAGGAGAGTAGGATTTTGGTTTCTTCTGCATAAGTGCTGGGAGGAGAGAGAACGCATGGTTATCAGGCTGTTTGTTAAAAATAGGCCTCTGTGGTGCAGCTCATGTACGGGTGATTTTTCATTGTATTCCAGTTCATTAGCACAGCCAAAGGGCATCATTACTCCAGAATGATAAGAGGAGAAGAGAGGGAGAGAGAGAGAGATTAAATAAGCGCAGCACTCTGGGAAGAGCTGTGTGCATAAACACTGAAGAGTAACCGCTCTAATAACCGACGAGAGGCTTCCAAAGCAAAGTCAAACTGCCGGTGATTGGTGTGAGTTTGAAGCAATTTAATATGCAGAGGAGAGAGCAAGAAGCTAAGCTGTATCGCTCTCATCCTAATATTATAACAGCACTCTGGGTGGCAAGACAGGAACTTACATAAGCGAGAATACACCAGATTAACCGGAGATAAAATGATTAAGTCCTATTGTACAGAGACTATCATTTAATAGTTGAATTGTTTAAAATTAAACAAAGAAAAAGGGAAGACAAAATCAGAAAACACAACACAAATATAAAACAAAAAAATACATTCAAAAACATTTTTCAACTGATTAAACTGTAATTTGAATTGAACGGATCAATCGGAACAAGTGAATTCTAATTTAAGGAAACGTAAAACAGGAAATATACTATTCACATTTAAAATGAAGTCCCTTTTTTTTTGG